TCTTATATTCGTTATTTTAATCTTTTATTTAAATTATTTGTTATATTTTAATCCTTTATTTTAATATATAATTATAGCCGTCTGGTTATCCTCTCGAATTTTTTGAGTTTTTTGTATCACCAGATAATCAGTACGTACTATTTGGAACTAATTATACAAAGGTAAAAATCGATTATTTTAAGATATAATTCATTTTTTAATTATTATATTAATCTTATTAAATATTGACTTCTTGTTTTTTTTTGTAGGGATGGAGATACTCTTATACCGCAAATTATTATATTTTTAATATTTCTTCAAAATCATCCTTTCCTATCACTAAAGAAATTGATTCAACTCATCAAGCTGTAATTTCTCATGCACAATGGAGTCCAGTTGGTCATGATATAGTAAGATTATTTTACAAAACTCTTAAAATTTTCTGGTTAGATTTTTTATATTTTTGAAATATATAATTTATTTCTTGAAATGAATTTATACGTACCTAAGGCATTTGTCAAAGATAACGATGTATATGTATCGTTAGGACTTAAAGAGGAACGCCGAATAACTTATGACGGTTCTACCGTTGTTTTTAATGGTGTTCCAGATTGGATCTATGAAGGTATTATTTAATTTAATAAGTATTAACTTTTATATCTTGTATCTTATGTATTACTAATATATACCTAATATATTTTTACAGAGGAAGTTCTTACTGCAAAATTTGCTTTATGGTGGTCTCCTGACGCAAAACGTCTTGGTTATCTTCGCTTAAATGAGAGTGAAGTACCTGAATATCGTTTTCCACTTTACGTTGATGGAATGCACGTCGAACCATATGTAAAAGAGGTTGTTATGAAATATCCAAAACCTGGTTATCCAAACCCTATTGTTAGTTTTCACATTTATGATACAACGACTCCTTTGGTTTCTCAATCCGGTGCCGTCACTTTTATAAATGATTTTCCTGATAACGATAAAATAATTACTGAAGTTTGTTGGGTTGGTAATGATAGTGTATTAGTTAGAGTTATGAATCGTGTACAAGATATTGCAAGAGTTGTTTTAGTCGATACAATTTCTCGTAATGGTACAACAGTTAGAGAAGAGAATGCTGATATAATTGATGGTGGATGGTTTGAAATTGTATGTATTATTGTATTATTTTAGTTCATTTACTTTTTTTTCTTTTTCTTATATGTTTTAAACTTATACTCCTATGATATTATTATTAAGACCAAAAGTTGGGTTTTCCTAGAAAAAGGCGGCAGCATCCATCAAGATTCTTATATCGATGTAGTTGTCAATAATGGATATAATCATCTTGCAATTTTCTCTCCGATAAATTCCAGTACTCCACAATACCTTACTAGTGGTAATTGGGAAGTTGTAGAAGGAGTAAAGGCTGTAGATCGTAAACGAGAACTCATGTATGCACACACATGTTGATCAAAAAAAAAGTTTTTTTTTTTAATATTAATGTGTGATAACTATTTTTAATGATAATTTTTTTTTTTTCTAGATATTTCATAAGTACCGAAAAATCCTCTATTGAACGACATTTATATTCAGTTAGTTTTGATGGAAAAACTAAAACTGCTTTGACTCAAACTACTGAGACAGGATATTATTCTGTAGACTTTTCTACAGGTGCTGAATATTATAATCTCAAATATGAAGGTCCTGATGTTCCTTGGCAGAAAGTAATGCAAGTTGGTAATACCTGTAAGTGTTACCTTTACGAAATTTTCATATACTATATTAATATTAAAACCTTATTATTAAATCTTATTATTAATATCTTATTATTAATGTCTTATTATTATTAAAATATTATTACTTAATTCCAACATTAATTTTTTTTTTTTTTTTTTTTTTTTTTTTTTAAGCATTTGAAATTTCCTTGCAAAGCAACAATGGCCTTAAAGGATTACTTGAAGCAATGGAATTACCGACAATAAGACGTTTTACTGTGGAGAGTGAAGAAAATCGTAATTATTATTTTGAATGTTCACTAATTTTTTTTTTTTTTTTAAAAAAAAAATATATATATAGTCAAACAAATGTCCCTATTAATTATTATAGAACTCAATGTTATGGAGATCCGACCACCAGGAATGGATGAATCCGGACATGAAAGACATCCAGTTCTTTTCCATGTATACGAAGGCCCAACTTCCCAATATGTTAATACAAAGTTCTCGATTGATTGGCATTGGTTTTTAGCATCTTCACCACAATTAAAATATATTGTTGTGTTAATTGACACTAGAGGAACTGGATTTAAAGGTCGTGCTTTTCGTTGTAGTGTAAGAAAACATTTAGGAGAATATGAATCAACTGATGTAATTAATGCAGCAAAATATTGGGCTAGTTTACCATATGTTGATTCTGGTAAAATGGCCGTTTGGGGGTGGTCATTTGGAGGTTTTGTTACCTCTAAAATTATCGAAATGGATTCTGGAATGTTTCAAGTGGGAATGGCTGTAGCACCTGTTACTGATTGGAGGTGAGTTATTAATTTGAAATTTCTACTATTAATGTATTTACCTTATATAAAAAAATTTTTTTTTCTAGGTTCTATGATTCAATTTACACAGAACGATATATGAAAACCCCTGCATTAAATCCATTAGGTTATCAACATAGTGCTATAACTAATATGTCAGGATTCGATCATGCAAAATTCTTGGTAGTTCACGGAACTGGTGATGGTAAATATTTTGTTTCTAATTAATTCAATAATACACATCTTATTTTTCTAATATAATAACTTTATACGTTAATTTTGTTTGAATTAAGATAACGGTAAGAATATTAGTTCAATAATATACTTTGTTGTCATGAGACTATTATTAATTAATTTATATTTTTGAAATATGTTTAGTTCACTTCCAAAATACGGCAAATTTGATTGATAGATTTACTCTGGCTTCAGTTCATAACTATCGTGTGCAATTTTATACTGACAGTGATCATTCAATTACAAAACATAATGCAAATCGAGAGGTATTCATTTAATATTCTTACAAACAATTGGGAATGATATTTCTTTTTCTAATCTTTTTTTTTCTTATTTTTTTATTTTAGCTTTATTATTTACTTACTGAATATCTTTGGCAAAGTTTTGGTTCTTCTGAAACAACATCGCTTACAATATAATTTCCAAAAAAAAAAAAAAAAAATTGATTTTTGGTATGCATTTTTTTTTTTATTATTTTCATCACATAACAATTACATTTATTTACACTTAGAAAGTCTTAATGTATAATATGTTCATTTATTGAAATATTCGGGACAAAATGTTAAATAACCTAAAATTGTCTTATACAAAATTATTGAATTAAGGTATTAACATATTAGAGTTAACACAAAATTGATCCATTTGAAGTTATAATTGTTTTCTCATAAACGAATTTTAAATGATTTGCTCGCCCCAGCTTTTAATTTTAATTTATATTTAGAACAAATATACTATATTTTTCAAAATTTAGAAAGGATCAACTCGGAAGTATTGAGTAAATTTTTTACTTAGCCGAGTTATAATTAACCTTAGTAATAATTTATTCACGTCATATATAAGAGGTGGTGAAATTTTTTGGGTACATGATTATATGTTAACTATCTTATTGGGATTTTGTATCGGTATTTTTTTTTTTTTTAAAAAAAAAAACATTTTAATTGGATAATTGGATTTTTTTTTTACAAAGGATAATAAAATTTTAAATAAAATTCAATATTTTTTAATTAAATCGTCGTTTTTAAAAACGTTTGAAATTTTTAAAAATAGTATCAAAAAAAATTTTTTTTTTTAATTTAGCAATTATGCTAATATTTAATCAAGTTTTAATTTATTACTAAAATATTACTATATAGTATTAAACTAATTAGTGATTATTTTCTAAGTATTAACTTATTCAATTACTATTTTGGTACCTATATGTGATTTGCTATAATGATTTTTATTCTCTTTACCTTTAACTTCTTTTAAAAGTTTCTAAAAACTTCAAAAGAAGAATATCACAGCTTATTATGTTTGCTATTTATATTTAAAAACTTTTGATTCTTTTTAATATTTCTTTTAAAATACTATTTAATGATAGCTAACTGGATTTGGAAGAATCTGTTTCATAGGTTTGGTAATCTTAATGTAGTGGTTAGGTTGTCAGACTGCCATACAAGAGATCTAGGGTTCAAATCTTACTGTCAACAAATTTGAATAATTATTCAGATCTTTGTACTCAACTTATGATAAACCTTGTTCATTTCTGGAGTTGTAACCTTGTAAATCATATTGTACTAATATCATCTGAATATTGGAAGTATGACGAGGTATTTGGTGAGATATAATATTACACAAATAAATCTTGATAGAATCTATGAGCAGAAGACCTGCATAGTAGAAATCTTGAGTTGGTGAAGTAGTATAGCCTTTGACGGTTATACCAGTTAACACTTGATTCAGAAAGAAAACTATGATCAAAAGATGCAGATCGAGTTATATGTACATAAATCCGTTCTACAGAGAGGATCAGTAACACCAACCTGACTTGGCAGCTAACTGGATTAGGAGGATCTGCTTCATAAAACATCTGAGAAAATAGAATACAAAAAACTAGTGGAGAACCACAGTAAGAACTGGAGTTGTACGAACATCTACAAGGATCTAAGCTAGGTGAATCTGTAAAATAGATACAGATCACTTTAGTAGATATGCTTCAAGTTAACTGGCTTTGTGATACTTACAATACATTAGGTACAATATATTCTGAGAAGACGTAAGCTGTTCTAGATAAATAGATCTGTAACGAGCTAGCTAGCTTAAGTGGTTAGGTGTTGTGATAATATTAGGTTAGATCTGTATAGGTTAATGAACAAAGTGTTTAAATAGGTAACCCATAGGTAGGTTACATATATGGTAGCATAGTATAGAACCAATCAGGTAGTCTAATTACCTGTGTGGTGAACTACTTAAAATAGAAATAACTAAAGTTGTACATGTAACTTGTTGTATACTCTTCATATAATTACAAACAATAGAGACTATTGTCATACCTATAATTTTCTATTTCTTTATTTTTCTTTTATTTTATTTTTAGTTTTATTATTTGATTTAGTATTTTTATAGTATATTTGTTATAGTTTTTATTTATTTTGTTTAGTTTTTGTATTTGTTACCCATACAGAGCACCGATAGCAGTATAGATGAGTTTTATTATTTGTTTAGTATAGTATTTTAGTATAGTTTTATTAGTAATAGTTTTGTATAACAATTAGTAATAGTTTTTGGATATGTTACACAGAAAATTGTAGAATAGTCTAGAATGTTATGGAATATTTTAGAATGTCCTGGAATATCTTGGAATCATGTGGCAACTTCTGGAATCTTACAGAATGTTCTGGAACCTTTTAGAATTTTCTAGGTATTATTAATTAATAATTAGTAATATGCGTCACCTTGATATTACACAAAGAGCACCACGAACACCACCTTTAACACCACGAACACTATAGCTAAAAATAACTATTGGTTCACTCAAACACTACGAACACCTTTTATAGAATTTCTAGAGACTAGCTAAGACTAGTATAATAACTAATCTTTATATAGCTTAGATATTTATAGTATCTAAAAAGATTTAACTAAAAAGATTAGAATAAGGCTGCAGTAGACAATTAATAATATATAAAGATACTACTAATTGTACCTTTACAAATAGAGAAGGATACTTAAGACAATTAAAAACAATAGTTAATATTTAAAGATATAAATATTGTATTAGTTTATTAAAGAATAGAAGGGAACTTGTCTAAACTTATCAGGATATTTTCTTAGAATTGTCTGAATTTTAGCAAAGCAGAAAAGTAGCCTTTTTATACAAATTGTTATAATACAAGAATCAGATAAAATAATAATAAAATACTATTATACATTCAATACATACTAAATATAGTTAAATTAATAGTACTAATATATATAAAATAACTAAAAGATATAAAAGATATACT